CGACTCACTGCTGCCTCTGCTGGACGCTAGAGGAACTGCAGCATATCTTTACAGTGTTGACCTCTGCTGTGCCCTGCAGGCAGTATCTGGACCAGGAGGTGGCGCTGTCTGAAGACATGGTCCACAAGTACAGCGACATGGTTCTGGCCAAGCTCAACAAGACCATCGGTGACCTGAGACGCGTGTTCCTGGTCGAGGACCTGGTCGACTCCATCAAGGTGAGTTTGAAGGCTCGTGTTTCTCTGTAAGTGTCCCGTAGCTCCGCCCACAGCTCCCCCCGCATAACGCGGGCGCTGCGTCCGCGTGCACACACGGGCCCGTGCTTTTTGAGGCTGTGTTAATGAGCAGCACCTGCACTGACTTACTGCGAGTGCAGGTCAGCGTTCAGGCGGCGCCGCAGCTGTCGGGGACTGTCGTCGCCTCGCTGAGCCCCTCCCACCCCCCGGCCTGCTGTCCAAATACAGATCTGCAGCTCAGCGGGCAGACGCGCCGCCGAGATTCCCTTAGAGGGTAAAAAAACTGATAGTTTTAATCCCCCCAGGAGCCGCTTCAAGCCTCAGGAATGTCTCACAGACAGGGTGCATTCTGGGATACCCCCGCTATTCTTCTGCCTCTGCTCCAACTTCCTGTTGTTGTCCCGAGTATTTCCCACCGCAGCAGCAGGTCACTAAATGTCACACGTGTTTCAGTGAGCCTGCAGCCTGAGATGGCACGCTTTAACTGCATCCGCTTACATCACAGCTTCACAAACACAGACTCCACCTCCTAACCTTTGACCCTTCAGTGTGTTAAACCACTGTTCCCTGATTCCTGTGAATATGAAATCAGAAAGAAAGTCACAGTTGAGCTGGATGAACCTTTAGTTTTATTCATGAAGTTCTCGAGCCTCCGCTGACTCGTCTCTTCTTCTTCTCTGCTTTAGTTCGCCGTGTTGATGTGGATCCTGACCTACGTCGGCGCCTTGTTCAACGGCCTCACTCTTCTTATTCTGGGTGAGTCACAGCGGGGGCGATGATGTCACCAGTCTTAGGGTGGAGGTCTGTGTGTTGTCTCCCTTTGACTCCATCTGGTGGAGATTTTAGGAACTTGCACTGGTCGATTTTGTCCGTCTTCATCAAATGACCAAAACGAAATCCTTTGGAGTCAAATCACAGATAAATGTGACGTTTGTTAAACAGGAAGTCGCGTTAAGATGAACTGCTTTAAAGTGCAGTTTGAGGTTCATTTACATAAAAATACTCGAGTAACACGAAGCACACTCAGCCGCCGCCTCTTCTCCTCCTGCAGGTGTGATCGCAGTCTTCAGCTGCCCGATCATCTATGAAAAGCACCAGGTGAGGGCTCATTTTACCCACAATGCACCATTCTGTCTGCAGGTTTGAGGGTGCTTGATGGACTGCTGGGAAATAAACCACAGCCAGTAAAGATGTTCTCTACTTGTTTTTATTATTTTACTGTTAAATACAGAAAGAACGTCGATGATAGAGATGATGGAGGTGCTCGTTCTAGTTTTAATGTGTGTGTGTGTGTTTCAGGCTCAGATCGACCATTACCTGGCTCTCGTCAACAACCAGATCAAAGATGTCGTTGGAAAGTAAGTGAGCAGCAAAACAGCAACTTCCTGTTGTCAAAGCCAACAAAGCCACTGTTTTTAAATTAAGTGTCTGCTGTGGTCGAACTCGCAGCGGGGGCCTCGCGGCTCGCGGCCGTGTTGTATTCTTGAAGACGTCGGTAGTTTCATGTCTAGGAGAAGCTGCAGAGCAGACTGAGACAAAAGTGCAGTTTTAAATCTAACCAATTAAACGTGAGCCCTCGGAGCTGCTGTCAGCTCACTGTTCATGATTATTGGAGTTGTGGATGCACTCGTCCACTATCTCCAGTTTTATTTCTGCTGATGTTGTCGTACCAATAAGACTGATGGTCACATGGTTTCTGCTGAAGGCGCGACTTAAACGTTTTTCTTAACTTTGTCAGATCAAATCCAACAAATACATCCAGGAATATTTCAGGCAGCAGGGCTGCTCTTAGTGAGGCTCACGTTAGTTTCCCAGCTCAGTCTCTGAGACTGACGGGAGAACGATGTAATCGGAGTACTCGGACACATCGATTCGCTCCCTCCAAACCCTTTGCTGACTTCCTCCGTGCTGTGAAGTAAAGAGTGAACTCCCCTCAGCTGCAGTCTGAATCAGCTGTGTGCCTCCTCCATGGGCTCAGTCTGTGCTGCGCTAAAGAGATTCCCACAGAATTATACACGAAACATTTAAACGTTTTTAACCTGATTGTTTCACGCCCAGACGCCTGATCTTTAACGGCGACTTTGATGTTTGCGTTTCTGTCTCGTTCTCGTGCTGACGGCTCGTCTGTTCTCTGATTCGTTCACAGGATCCAGGCGAAGGTGCCCGGGATGAAACGCAAGACAGAGTGACGGAAACAGGAAGTGGGAGTTGGATTCAGGAAGTCCTGAGCCAGATGATTTGATTGAAGGATGGGGGTGTGTGGGTGGGTGAGGGGAGACGGGGTGGATATGAAGGAAGGCTGGAGGAGGGGGAGGGGTTTGGCGTGGACGCAGCCCTTCCAACTGCATTTGTCAAAATAATAAAACATTTTTTTCCAGTTCAGAATTCCTTTTATGTTTTTGTTTTCTGGGAAAGTTGCAGCCGTGTGACGACTCCGAGGTCGGCGCGATGATTTTTCACGTCCCCCTCCCCCGTTTGATTTCTTTTTAAAGTCGAGTTTTGAAATGTTTGTTTCTGCGCTTGAAGAAACGCATTTGGATCTTGAGCGAACCCTCGCTCCCTCCACCCGGCGCGCTGTGGGAGGTCGGCTGCTCCTCGGCCGGGTTCGGGGGATCCGTTTTCTGTTTTTGACTTTAGGTTTTCCAGCTGAAGGGTTCGTTTTCGCGTCGGCTGCGGTCGACGAGCGCGAGCGGCCGGCGGCGCCTCTGTTTTTGTTTCTTTTGGTCTGAATATTCTCGCTGATTTTCGGTGTATTTTTGTGATTTCCTGTCGTGTCCCTGAAGCTTGGAGCTCGTTCCTCGGTACGCCGGTTTCGCCTCGATGTGACGAACGACGTCTTTGACTCCTGATGAGGCAGCGGGGGGAGGGAGGAGGGTCGTACTACCTTTTAAAATCTTCATCGCTTCTGAGTAACTCTAGTTAGAAACATCTAGAAATCTTTGCCGGACGATTTAAACACATTAATTACATAAAAGTCGTTATTTCCACGTCATCGCAGCCGTCTAGAGACGAACTCTGGAAGGAACGTTTACATTCATCAACATCAGAAAATATTTAAAAAGATTAAAAAGAACCATCCATGGGATTAAAGTAAGCATTCTGTCTGTGGAGCCGTCATCTTAATAAAGTTGCAACTTGATGTGACTTTTGGGAAACCTTCAAGCATTTGTTTGTTATGCAAGTATAATTGTGAATGATAAACTTCATACTTCAATTGTGACGATAAAAGCTTCCAGCCGGGAGCCGTGTTTGTGGAATGCATTGTGAGATGTAAACAATTATCAATAAAGCTTCTAGACGAAAGCCCCGCCTCCTCGTCTGTCCGTCACTTCCTGTTGCTTGTTAAATACGGAAGCCCGTTTATGCTCAAACGAGAGGAACAAAGGAAAGTAACTTTTAAAAAAAATGTAAAATTCCCAGCAGTTTGTGTTGAATGTAGAACTAAATGCACACAGGAGCATAAGAACAATATTTTTATACTCGTGAGAAATGAAGGTTCTTTGGTGATGAGCTGGATCAAGTTGCACTTTAAAAGTGTTTTAAATCATGACTAGAAATGAAGACAAACCCAGCCCATATTTATAAATACTCTGCAAATTTAATCTTTAATATTCATTCAGTCACAAAAAAAATTGTTATAATTATAAATTTGTTGTAATTTGCTGGATTATATTTGAATTGAAATTAAATATTCAAATAAAATAAACTGATGAACTTGTGATTCTGACTCATCAACATTAAGATGAACGTGGCAGAAATGAGCGTCCACAGCAGGTTGTGTGTGGGTGAGGCTGAAGCTGCTCCTGAACTGGCTCCTCCAACACTTTCAGGTTTGATGACTAAATGATTGATTACTGATTAAAGTTTTACATTTACAGGCTTTGTTTTTCTTACACATCGTTGGTTGCATAAAGTCATGTCCCGGATGATTCCCGTGTTTGTGGAAGAACGACTCCTGTGCTCTCTGAAGTCTGTTTCTGGGACAGACCTTGGATGAGCTCTGGTTGAGTCTAATGAAAACACTAGTCAGACCTGTCTGTGTGAAAGTGAAGAAAGTTTGTGCTCTTGCACGGGCTGAGTTATCACCACCTGAGACCAGGTGTGACTGCAGTCAGCAGACGGCTCACAGGAGAGAAAGAAACTTTGAACTCTTCGCAGGTTTAATCTGGATCAGATCAGGTCTGTTTTCCAGCTCGAGTCTCTCTGACGTCAGAGCTCGTCCTCCTCCCTCCTGCTGATGAAGAGTCTGTAAACCTGCATCATCCCCTCACCACTTTTACCCCCCATGTTTTTATTATCATGACTTCCTAATCAATCTTTCACTTCTATTCCTTATAATCCTTTATGCATATCATCCCCATTAATTACCTAAAATAAACTGGTGACCTGTCCAGGTGTACACCACCTCTCCCCCTCAGACAGCTGCGATAGGCTCCACCCTTCATGACTGTCCATGACATTTACACGGGGAGTGGATCCCTGATAAGAGCTCACGATAATGGACGATGATTAAGAAATGACTCAACGCAGGGAGGGTTCAGGAACAAATTATTGATAGGAGATTAAAAAACAGTAGATAAAGTGTTGGCAGGAGGTAAAGGGTCAAAAACTGCTGCGAGAGGAAAAGTAACTGTTAGCATTAACAGCTAATATATATACACACATATATACATTTTTAATCGTTTTTTTCAACAAAATGTTAACATTTATAAAAATAATATTTTTCTGATAAATGTTCAGAAATTTCATTAAATATTTAAAATATATTCATGTTATACAAAAGTTCTGTTTTTTTAATCAAAAACTTTAAAAGCTCTTCAAAATTCTACTTTTCCAGCAGTGCATCAGCATTAACACATTTTTCATATTGTCTCATATTCTTAATCATTGTTTTTTGCACACATTTAAATAAATATTTGTTCCTGGGTAACTTTGTATCAACAAACACAGGATAGTTTCACCACATTAAATGATTGAAGTGACTCATTTCTGACGACTGATGTTAGTTTGTTGGATTTTCCTCGATGATCGATCAATATGATGTTTCTGCTGCATGTTTGACGCTCGTCTCAAACTGAACTCATTCGATTTGTTTAACGAGTAGTTAAAGTACTCGAGTACCAAACGCAAACTCTTGTGCCATCGTGCTTTCCTGACCCGAACGCTCGGATTAAATAAATGGGGCGCGAGCGCTTTAGCGTGGCGGTGAAACAGCGTCTGGTTTTCAGGGTGTCTGTCGGCTGCACCGACCCCTCTGTGTCGCTGTCGTAGTTTATCCCTCTGTGGTCGTGCTGACGCTGCCTGTGGCTGTAACGGCGATAAACACTCGCTCGTCTCCACGCAGGAACGACCCCCTCGATCCACGTGTGGGACGCCATGGGCAAGCAGACGCTGTCCATCCTCCGCTGTCCGCACAGCAAAGGCGTCGGCTACGTGAACTTCAGCGCCACGGGAAAGCTGCTGCTGTCCGTCGGAGTGGACCCTGAACACACCATCACGGTGTGGCGCTGGCAGGAAGGTCAGAGACTTTCAGCGTGGTTTGATTCGCTTCCCTCTGTGGTGGCAGTAACCACGGTAACCACAGCGTGTCTCCTCTGCAGGATCTCGAGCGTGCGGGAAAGCCGGACACCCGGACCGGATCTTCGTGGTGGAGTTTCGGCCCGACTCGGACGCTCAGTTCGTGTCGGTGGGAATCAAACACGTGAAGTTCTGGACGCTGGCCGGCGGCGCGCTGATGTACAAGAAGGGCGTGGTGGGGACGCTGGAGGACGGCAGGATGCAGACGATGCTGTCTGTCGCCTTCGGTGCGGTGAGTTCGCCGCTTCGCCCCGGGGCCCCTCAGGAGCGTCGTCCAGTCGAAGCACGTAAGCTGACCGTGTCTGTGTTCACGTTTGCAGAATAACTTGACGTTCACAGGGGCCATTAACGGGGACGTGTACGTGTGGCGAGATCACTACCTGCTGCGGGTGGTGGCGAAGGCTCACACCGGGCCGGTCTTCACCATGTACACCACCCTGAGAGACGGACTCATCGTCACCGGTGGAAAGGAGAGGCCGTGAGTCACACGCCGACCGCTTCACCTGTCATCGAGAACCATCTTCATAATACAGATTTTATTAAAAGGATGTTTATATATGATGTCATGAAAAGGGACCAACCATGAGTTTGGAAGTTTTCTACTTCCTGAAAGCGCCAATTCTCTGTGGACGGCGTCGCCACAGAAACCGAGATCAGCTGATCTCTGTGTGATGGCCTCATTCGTGGTCCTCTGTTTAAGCTGTTTCAGACTGCAAGCTCCTTTGCAACCCAACCTCCTCTTTCGTGCTGTTTCTAGTTTTTCAGTTTTTGTTTTCTCCTTCGTGGAAAAAATGGAAAATAAAAACTTTGTTTGTGCGTCAGGACGAAGGAGGGCGGAGCAGTGAAGCTCTGGGATCAGGAGATGAAACGATGCCGAGCCTTCCAGCTGGAGACCGGGCAGCAGGTGGAGTGCGTGCGGTCGGTCTGCAGAGGCAAGGTGAGACCTCGACATCCTTTCCCCGCTCCTCCTCCTCCGCCATCACCCGTCCGTCTTCCTCATCGCCTCGGCCTCTCGTCTTCCTCAGGGTAAGATCCTGGTGGGGACGAAAGACGGCGAAATCATCGAGGTCGGGGAGAAGAACGCGGCGTCCAACCTGCTGCTGGACAGTCACGCTCGGGGGGGAATCTGGGGTCTGGGCGCTCATCCGGCCAAAGATCTCTGCATCACGGCGAGCGACGACGCCACCATCCGCCTGTGGGACCTCGCCGACAAGGTCAGTGATTGGAGTCCAGGCTCTTTAGGACGTAGGTGGTGGATGCTGGGGTGGAGGAGGGCTAGAAACAGCAGGCGCTGCTGCAGGTTTGCGTGATGTGGTGCAGCGAGGGCTGGTTAAAGAAATCTTCTCTCTCTGGTTAGAAACTGCTGAACAAAGTGTGCGTCGGCCACGCGGCTCGCTGCGTCAGCTACAGCGCAGACGGAGAGATGCTGGCGGTGGGGATGAAGAACGGCGAGTTCCTCCTCCTCCTCTCCAATTCGCTGAAGATGTGGGCGAAGAAGCGAGACCGCAGCGCCACCGTCCAGGACATCCGGTAAGAGAGCGAGCGCGGGAGCGAAGAATGAAAGCGCTGGATGTTTGTTTGACTGAACTCTGTGCGCAGCTTCAGTCCGGACCGGCGGCTGTTGGCGGTCGGCTCCGTGGAGAACACGGTGGACGTGTACGACGTGAGCGCAGGGCCGACGCTGAACCGGCTGGTTTACTGCAGCGACATCCCCGCCTTCGTCCTGCAGCTCGACTTCTCTGCTGACAGCTGCTACGTACAGGTACACCCACAGCTGGAGGTCTCTTCCTGTTAGACGGGGGCTCTTCCTTCCCACAGTCACCAGGTGCTGTGATACAACTGCTCTACATGTATATGTACACAAAAACAACACACCTACAAACCGGCATTCGTCCGCTCATACACACAAACACCCCCATAGACAACCAACCACCACACCACAACACCAAAAACCAACACTGAGCACACACACCATACACCACACAAACACAAAACACACACGACACACCACCCACCACACACAACAACCCCACCCACCAACACACAAACAAAACACACACAAACACTAGACAAACAACAACACCAACAAACGAGACCCAAACAATAACCACCAAACACCAAAAACACACCAACACCAACACCACGAACAAAACACAACACCACACACAGACAAAAACCCACCCACACACACACAACAAACAGCCAGCAACACACACAACACCACACCCTACAGAAACACAACACCGACACAGCACAGATAAAACCCACACACACACACACAGCACACACACACACACAGACACACACATAAACACAAACAACCCACAAACAACACAAGAACCACAATCACCCCATAAACAACAACAACACAACAGCACAACACACATCACAACAACAGACAACCAAAAACAGCAACAACACACACACAGACACACACACGCACAACACAACACACACACACACACACACACACACACGAGAACACACACACACACACACACAACAGAAAACACACTCACACAGACCCACCACAAGACAAAACACACATAGAGACACACACACTCGTTATGCTGACGCGTGCAGCACAATCTCACCTGCAGGTGTCCACCGGAGCTTATAAGCGGCAGGTGTTCGAGGTTCCTTCTGGAAAGCTGGTGAGCGACCCGATCGCCATCGACAGAATCACCTGGGCAACGTGGACCAGGTAACGCACAAACACGGCTCATGGTCGCCCGCTCGACCCCCGAGCTAACCCGACAACGAGCCGCGGCGCTGACTCGCTCTTTCTGTCATCTCTTCTTCAGCATCCTGGGAGACGAAGTTTTGGGGATTTGGCCTCGAAACGCCGACAAAGCTGACGTGAGCTGCGCGTGTGTGTCTCACGGCGGCCTGAACATCGTCACCGGCGACGACTTTGGATTGGTCAAACTGTTCGACTTCCCCTGCACAGAGAAGTTTGTGAGTTTGTGGCCACGTCTCATTTATTCAGTATTAGCTGTTCGGAGGTAGGAAAGGAAATAAATGAAGGAGTCGAGGAGTCGAGGGCTTCATGAGCACTAACGGAAAGAAACAAAGTCACAAGTTTGAAGTTAAACTTTTGACCTTTTGATCTCTGAGGATATCAAACTTCTGCAGCTGAGGGTGTTTGTAGGCTCAGGTTCAGTTTATTCTTTGTATCCAGGACTAAGTTGATTAAACGGACGCACGTTTGCTTCGTTTCCGTCTGCAGGCCAAACACAAGCGCTACCTCGGCCACTCGCCTCATGTGACCAACATCCGCTTCTCCCACGACGACAAATACGTGATCAGCACAGGAGGAGACGACTGCAGGTAACCCGATCACCGATCAATAACACAACCATGCACTCAGGAGAGATTAAACTAATAAAACTGTTTTTATTCTCTCTGACTACAAAGACGAGATGCTGCGACGGGCGCATGAACCTTGGTTTTCACACGTGTGTCTTTATTGATGGTTTCGGAGTCAAACGCCTTCTAAACAGATTCTTACAGCAGTTACAGTCTCACCTGTTTTCCACCTGTTTTTGCTGTGAGCCTGTAAATGTAATTCAAAGTGCTCGCTGTTAAAATATCTTCTAAGATTAGGAAAGTTATGACTTGTATCCAACACTTCTGTTCGTGTTTAAGAGATTTCAGGTAAAGTTTAAAAAGGGGCGGGCTTTACGTTTGCGTAATACCGATCTGCACCACAAGGTGGTGCAACAAGCCCATCGATGTTTTTTTAACCAGTTTAAACTTCGTGTTTAAAGCTGAGGAAACTGGGACTAAAAGGAAGTTAAAGCGCAGCGGTCGCAGGGGCAACGCTGCCCCCTGGTGGACAAAGTCTTTGTTACAGTTTGCAGAAGTTGTACAACACAAAGTTCCTTGAATGCCTGTTTGTGTGTTTCAGTGTGTTTGTGTGGAAATGTCTGTAAACACTCGGATCCACAGCGCCTTAAACAGACCACAAGTGGATCCAGAGGGAGTCGAACCCACAACCGGCCCGAGCCTCCAACGCCACGTGGGCCAGACTGCGACTAACCCTCCACGACGGACGGATGCATGGACATGAACACAAAGCCTCGGGAGAACCCGCGGACTCTATCAGCTGATGTTTACATGTTTGTCGTTTTCTTTTTTGGTCACATGGTGAAAAAAACATTAAAATTTGTGCAAACAGGTTCATAAAGTGAGGGAGCGCACAGCTGTAAACCAATCAAACGACAGACCCCTCCCTCACTTTGGTCAACCACACGCTCAGATTTGCACGTCAGTGCGCCCCCTGCAGGGCTCAGCGGGAACCTTCCTGATGAATCACATGACTCAGAGGATCCATCAGCTGGTATCTGACCAAAACCCACAGGATGACCTTGTTGGACGGTTTCTGCCACCTGCTGTTACCCATAAGGCCTTGCGTTGGGTCGTCGCAGTGGTTTGAACATTTAAGACATTCCAGTCGGCTCAAAGCTGCTGCTTCCACAAAACTGAGCAGAAATCAGAGTTTAAGGCAGCTCTAACTGAGCCGCGCTGAAGGTAATTAAAACGGCTTCAAACGAACGTACGGAGGCCCACAAGTGTCACACAAGAACTATTTCTCTAACATCTTCAGACGCAAACGGTAATCTGAAGATACTCGGTTACATTCAGGGGTTATTTTGGCAATAAGTCATTTACGATAAAATTCACACGCATCTGTCAAAGTTTCAAAGGAAACAGAAACTATAAAAAGAGACGTTAAAGTTAAATTAGGAGGAATAAACGCAAAGACACAAACGGCACAGCAAACGAAATTAAAATGTCATTAAATTAAAGAAAAAGAAAAGACTAAAAGATTTATTACATCGCTCTGTTTTCTTTTCTTTGAGGTGGATTCATTTTTATCTTCAAGTAAAACACAAAAGTCTTTGTTTATATAAAAACGAAACACCGACATGAAGCAAAATAAAAACTACGAGAAACAAAATGAAATCACCACGGGGGGGTCAAAGGTCATCCTGGTACATTGCTCTGGTTTCTGTTTGGTTTTGATGCAATCAGCATCTTATTACGTGTTGTTGAAATGAGCCGATTCGAGCGGGCGTTCTGGTCAAACTAAGATTTCTTTATGCAGAAAACAGAAACGTTAAACTGCTTTATAATAAAAAATAATCGAATGCAGTTTCATATTTACAGAAACTTTGCGAAGTTTGTCTGAAAAAACAAAAAGTCTCACGGTCACGTTTCATGTCAGCGCCTTCACTGCATCTGTGGTTGGACATCGTCACACTTAAGTGCCTTTCCGGATCTTTCTACCTGTGTTTGTTTCTTTTGGACGAGGTTCATATGCTCGATTTATTTGTTTTTAATCCATAATTGAACTCGTGTTTTCTTTTTTGTACTCTGTCTGGTGCTACACTGAGAATGTTCATCCAAAAATGGACGTTTAAAAAAAGAAGCTTTTTGCTTTGCTGCTGCTTTTTGTTTGAAAGACGTGAAACATCCAAAGCTTCGTGATCGCACCAACACGCAGGAAAAGATATTTGGAGACGTGTTCATGTTTCTCGGAGCGTGGACGAGTCTGTGTGTCGGATTATTAACGTGTAACTGTCGTGAAACGTGTCAAAGAGTCTGTGTGTGTAACCATGAACGAAAAAAAACCTGTGAGAAACCAACCGACTGCTGACTCGTTTATCACACCAACCAACAAGCACACACCAAGACGCCCAAACAACAGAAACAAACCAACCGACACACACACACACAACCACACACAAAACCCACACAGACACCAACCCACACAGAGCACCAACACACAGAACACACAACACACACACACACACACACACAGACCACACAACACACACACACACACGACACACACAGAAACAGAAACACAGCACACACACTACAAAACAACACAACAACACCAAAACGAAACAGACACACGCAACAAACCCCACAACACACACAGAGCAACAAGAACACACACACAGACACACACACACAGACAACCACACACACACACAGCACACACACACACACACACACACAGACAGCACACACACACACACACACACAGCACACACACAGCACACACACACACAACACACACACACAAGACAGAACACAACACAGCCCAACACAACAGACACACAGCACACAGACAGACAGCAACCCACAAAAAACAACACACTTACCAACATATGGTGTAGTCTACAGCTAATTGCATAAATTAGTATTGGTCATGTATCGCCTGCAGGGCTACTCAAGCCATTGAGGCCATTGTCTACGTCACTACCCTCAATGCCCTCAGGTATGTGTTCATCCAGCGCCCTCATTCATGCGGACTATGTAGCAGCAACTAGACTTTCCTGATTACAGTTCACATGCAATTGTCAAATTTGATCGTTGTAATTTAATGTACTGAAAAAAACCTCTTACAACGATGACTTCTTCATCTGATGTCATGTCACTCACAAATGAACCATCAGAAATTTGGGTGAGCTTTTTGACTGCAGTTGAGGAAGCCTTTATGCCCGCGTTCATCACACAAGGAATCGTCGTCCGATTGTATTTTGTCACAGTACGTGTTAATAGGACTCCAAGCTTCCGCTCGGAGGGGTGGGCGGGTGTTTTGGAAATGACAGTCTTCATTACAAAGCTTTCTTCGTTATGAATTAGCATACATGTTTTTATTGAACATTTGAAGAACCAGCAAAAAAACAGAAACTCTTGTAGTCAGACATAAAGTCAGAGATAGAAAAGACAAGGAGCAGGTGCATCTAGTACAGGTAGAGCTGCTGCAACACAGAGCCCAGCAGCCAGCAACAAATTCTGGATCCTTTGCTTTTAGTTAGCAGTTAGCATTAGCAGCACATCCCGCGTCCGATGTGAAAGGACTTTTATGCTGCGCACTGTGACTCACAGCAATGGTCCTGGGTCAGCCCTGACTTTGTGTTAAACTAATCCAGTGTGTGAATGTGTGTGTGAATGGGTGGATGACTGGATATGTAAAGCGCTTTGGGGTCCTTAGGGACTAGTAAAGTGCTATATAAATACAGGCCATTTAATCCTAAAGTAATAATGGTGTTCTAACCACTGACATACCACAACTTTATCCTTTCAACAGCTGCTGAAAGTAAGGGGACCTAGCTGCTATCGGATATTTATATAGAGATTACCCTTCAAGGACCTGCAGTTCAAAAAAGCTGCCCCTCCGACAGCCAAACCCATCTGTTCTCTGATTGGATTGTTTACATTTGTGATTGACATGACATTGACCAATCAGCTTAAAGGAAGAAAAATAGGGTCAAAATTCGTACTTGTAACTTGCAGGGGGTTTTTTTGGGCTAAGTCCACACACAAATCTTTTTTACAAGTACAAAAAATTTATCGACACATTTTGAGTTTCTACAGACCCCTTAGGACTTTTTTCTAAAAAAAGTCGCTAAAAAAAGACGTGAAAGCGCGTATCGCTTTTACTCTCAACAAGCAGCGGGTGCTGTAACGCAGTCAGTTCTTCTTTTACTCTTATGCTGTTTTGTGGATCACAAGGTTTAAAACTACTTATAAACACACACACACAAAGTAACTCCACCAGAGTCGCCTATTTCGGGTCACTTTTGCCGGTCCAAGCCCGGGTAAAGGAGCAGGGTTGGAATTGTGACATTAAAAAAAACAATAATTGCTAAAAGAAATTTAATTTGTAGTTCTAAATAAACTCTAAATGCATTTAGGACGTTTTTTACTCACTTTATGTCTCTTCCACGATGTTATTTCTCTCTCCAACAACATAGGTTACAATTAGATTAGCATGACCAATTATGCAAATTAGGCGATGACGTCATTTAGCGACTTCTAGCGACTTTTAGGACAGCCAATAGCGATTTTCCTTACTGAGGAGTTGGCAACACTGCTTCGTGTGTCCTGTATGTCTCAATGTGAGCTTCTGGTAGTACCCCTCGGTAACCGCGGTAAAGTGAGCCGTCATTTGTGAGCCGCGGTCAAGCCAGCCGCCTCCTATCCGCCGCATAAATTTCCTTGCGCTTTTACACCAGTCTTTACGGTAGCGCCTTTTCGCTTTATATCCTGATTGAAAGCCTAGACGACATCCACGCGCGCACACAAATTACAATGGAACAGCCCATACAGCCATCGTGACAGTCTGGTTGCATATTCAAAAATTCATTAAAAATCATTCTTAAAAGTTGATGCCAAGCTTTCAACACAATCCTCTTCTCGGACACCTACTTTACCTCTGGGCCAGGTTTTACCCAGATTTACTGTAATATTACTCAGAAATCACAGTAAACTCATATTCAGTGCAATACAGTCAATGCACTACAATTATGTTTATTTCAAAAATTCATTAAAAGTCATCCTGAGTAGTTGATGTCCAACTTTCAACAGATTCCTTCTCCGGGACACCTACTGTACCTGTGTGCCAGGTTTCAGCCAGATTCACTGTAATATTCCACAGAAATTACAGGAAACTTTTATTCAATTTCACCGTCAAATTAATAAAGCTTCTCCGATTCTGATTTTGCTGTACATATGTAGGTTATGTATTTCAGAAATGTAAATAGAGCTTGTTCGTTTAGATTTTGTATTGCATTCTTTTTCATTTTAATACCTTTTCTAAAAAATTACACTAAGTTTAGAAAATAATGTGATTCTCGCAGTTTGGGTTTGTGACCCAACCCTTTTTGCATTAGTTTTGGTATTTGTTGATTAAGATTACTATTGATCAATGTATGTAATTCTTGTTTTTGCTGTTATTAGTTAGTACTTTTAATTTGGCGATACTTTGTTACGTTCTTCTAATTCTCCCTGACAGCTCATAGTTGCTCAGTCTTTACTGCTTTGTTTAAATAGATCGTTTCGTGTCACCTACCATTACAATTCATTCCAATCGCCCTTGTTTGTTAATGTGAGGTATACATTCGTCATGTTTCCTGTTTTAAGAGTCTGTTTTCCTTTCTCATGTTCAAGTCTTGGGTGTACCCCTTAATATTTTATCTCATACTGCTGGTCGCCATCATGTTCAGGTCTGTAGTAGTGTTGTACATAGTCACAGTAACATTAATAGCAGTCGTAGTTTAGTCTCGCCCATTTCAGGATTAATTACAGTTATTGTAACCTGTTGCTTTTGCCTTGTTGTATGTTCAAGTTTCTTCCATCAGCCACAATGAAGGGCTCTCTTTTAGTT